TTCATTCGTCGTCGCTAAGTTTTGATCATTCGATACCTCTTCATCCTGCAACACAACAGATTTTATTCTAAACTGAAACCGATGATGATTCGATCAAAAATTTGATTTTAACAACACAAACTCCATCTTCGTAAACACATCCACTTGTGCACATCAGCAAATATCACCACTACACAATGACCTATTCGAAACCGTATTTCATGCCTAATGATCATAAATCTTCACATGAACTTAGCAGATCTTTACGTGAACTTATAGATTTTTACATGAACTTCACATACATTGATACAACGAATGATCTTATACATTCTTCGATAACATTTTATGCAATGTGATGCAACATTGTACAATTCCATTCCATTTCTGCAATGCCGTAACTCTCACTAAACATATCTGAACGCAAAACAAATCACAACAAATACAATTCCACCAACCTGTTGTTCCGCACTCTCCTCTTGTAAATTCTCATTGCACTCTTCCTCCTGCTCATTCTCATTATCCTCGCCCGTTCCATTCTCATCATCGTCCAACTTCTTACCATCCATTATGTCCGCTAAACACTCCTCGTCCTCATTGTGTTCCTGATCTTCATCTTTATTCGCACTATCCGCTTGCTCTTCATCAACATCTTTCGGTTCCGCGTCCTTACATTCCTGCTCATCAGGGTTCATTTCGTCCGATTGATTGCGTTCGTCAACATTCTCCAGATCGCGATCTTGATCCGTATCGCCTTCGTCATGCTCCTCTGATTTCCGCTCCTTCAGTTCCGGATTATTCTGTCGTTCATCATCCTTGGCCGTAAGTTGATCGCTTTTTTCATTTACTCCTGAATGAGTAAATAATAATTTCTATTAATCGCAACTGTTCATTCGAAAATACGCGATCATATGACTTCTAGTATGGTCTTCTATAGTCTCTTAGGACAACAAAACAAAATAGATCTTCAATATTTTCTCCAAAAACAAACCCTTCCTCATACCAACCACAAAACTTCAAATTATCAAACAGTCACCACTATGTTTGTTCCAGTCAACA